TTAATTTCCATTGGGGGGAAGGAAAGCCCTGAGGGATCTAGAAATGATTTTTTTTTTATAATATGCTCTATGCCAGAAACTCCTTGAGTTCTGTCTAATGCTTGATGACCTGACCAACTGGCCCAGAATCAGAAGCCAGTAGAGCCCTGTGAGCTATTAGCCAAGTTATTCAGCTTGAACTGCTCCTTCAAAAACAGCCCTTGGTAGGAAAGTGAGTGTCAGACGTAAGACCTGTGGTACCCAGACCAGTGTCATCAGCATCACCTGGGAGCTTGTTAGAAATGCAGAATCACAGACTCTATCCCAGACACGCTGAATCAGAAATCCCGGGTGACTCATTTGTTCATTAGAGTTTGAGAAGACAGATATAAGATATAGGAGAAGCCTGTTCTCGTCTTCGAATAGAAAGGAGCTAGGAAGAACCTGTACTTATTGGTAGTTTCTGGAGGAATTCCTTCACCTGAGGTCTGTGCTGCCAGTTCTTTCAGTGGCTCTCAACCATCATGGAAATAGCATAAGTATCATTCTTGTGCTGAAATCACAGTAGGAACTAGAAATGTGTCCAACATAGAAACTGCTGTGTTGGAGCAGTTGCTGTGTAGTGGCGGGGGGGTGAGGGGAGGTGCGGAAGGCACAGATTTACAGTCAGAGACATCTGGGTTAAATTCTGACCTCTCCACCCACAGCTTTCTGATCTTGGAGTGGTTACTCTGAGCTCTCTGAGCCTCACTTTTCCTCATCTGCAAAATGGGTGTACTAACAGCAGGACGGCATTCTATGGAGATTAAATGAGAATGTATTTACATATGAAAACGCCTGGTGCAATCCCTGACAAAATTTGGAGATCTAATGAATGGTAGCTATTATTGTTACTATTGTCTTTTTTATAAGCTTTAGTCATGAAGGCCCCCATCTGTCATTTTAGAATGATTTGGTGTGGTTTCTAAAGACTGGGAAAGGCTATATTAAAATAGGACCTGTGCAGAAAGTGATATGTGGCACTGTGTTACATAACAGCTCTGCTCTCTAAGGGCCTCCAAGACAGATCTGCAGAGATGTTGACAATAAAACAGGCTGGAATGGAAATGACCCACTGTCTCCTCTGCCTCTGACACCATCAAGAACCTTGCCAGCTGGGTTCCAAGAGCCGATTCTTTATTAAAGTGATGATGTAAGAGACAGAGAGGACAGCTGTTTATCCAGATTCTGGGAAGACTGTGAGGCCCCGGCCTCTCAAAATTATCTTTTGACTTAAAAACTGACTATATTGGATATGGGAGTCATTGAAAAAGAATAAATGTGAAACTTCATGAAGTCATCTTCACTGAGTCTTTTTTAGAAGATAACCACCCTTGAAGCAATAAAACATGACACACCATGTAGTAGTTCTGATTAACAGACCCTCAGAAATAAGAAGGAAGTGGGTGACAAGTTGCCAAAAAATGGAAGGAAGATCATAACAGCAGGATGTGGGGCTGAGAAAAAGGAGTTTGATTTAAGGACAGAAAGATTATGTCCCCATTTAATTATAAAATGCACAATTTAAATCAAATGTTCGGCTTATTTAAAATGTACGCTCATCTAATTACACAATGGATTTTTATGCTTCCAGGTGATTTTTCACTGCAATGTACTGCAAGTATCGATCAGAGATTTCCTTTATCATTTTAATGTAGTTGCCAAGGGGGAGAAAAGACTAGGAAGCTCTGTCTGGGGAAGTGTTGCTAACCTGTCCGGCCGTGTGATGGTTTAGTAAGAACTCTGAAGAGCTCTTGAGCCCAATTCGCTTTTATGTGGCTACTGGGGTGCTGATATTTAATGGACATTTCACTGCATAGCATGGCTCCACCATACTGACTGAAAAGAATATGATTAATAGTACCAAGTTTTTCCTCTGGTGAGTGACAATGAGTAAAGTGCTCACCTGGGAGAGTCAAAGGAATCCTTGTAGTACTATAAGCTGACATTTAAGACATTTTGTGGCCAAGTAAAAACTTCCGAGATCCCCTGGAAAAGTCTGTTTTCCTAACCTAGGTAAACACTGTTATCCCCACAGCATGTTTGGTTCGGCTTTTCATCTTTTGGCGAGAGAAAATGATTCCGTTTGAGGATGAGGGTAGAAAAGAGATTAAACAATTAATGTTTCTTCTACCACCAAGAGGAGAATAGAGAAAGAAAATTACAACAGACTTGGGAGCAGTCATCTATGTATTTCTATAAGTAAGTTTGTGATATAATGAGAGAAAAGTAAGTGAAAACTTAAACTTATAGGATGCATACTGAGCAAAGCTAGGTCAAAAAGAAGTGTCGATGTGGCATAATAGCAAGATTGCCAGTAGCCTATGTTTCTATAGGGTAATGAATTTAACCATAGAATTGCTGCAGCATGTTCTCACAGGGAATTTCAGCTGAACCCACTGCTTTTCCAAAGCACGAGAAGTATCTTCCTTCTGGCTTTCCCCCTGAGTGTACCACCCCAGTGGTATTTGCTATATTGTCATAATTGCTTCTGCTGGTCACGTTAGAAAGGTTTGCTTCCTCGTTCTTTAAATCCACTCTCATTTTTTAAGCATCATTTAACTATAAAAAGATATTTATTTGTTCAGTTTATGGAAGTAAGTGAAACAATTTTTTTTTCTTTTTGGAACCCAGTATGTCCATGTAGGTAGTGCACCCCGACCCTTCACTCTCTCTGACCTTGTCGCTGCTGGCGGTCTGCTGGGCCTGTTGGTATTGAGAAAGCACTGACAGGTATTTAGAGACTCGTGACCTTCTATATCAGTTATCATATGCTCAGCCACTAATAACGATGCGGCCTTGGCCAAGTCATTTCCCTTAATCTTCTCATCTGAAAAAAAAGAGGAGGGTGGAGTAGATGGGCTTTAAGGTTTTCCAATTCAGTCTTGGGTTCTGTGACTAAGCAGGAATCTCTAATCCTCTTTTTTTTTAATTAATTAATTTTTTTTTTATGGCGGCATTGGTTAAGGAAATCCAATAAGTTTCAGCTGTACACTTTAACAGTAAGGCGTACATATATTTACACTGTGCGTTCACCTCTCATAGTTAGATTTCTTTCTGTCACCATATATTTGACCCCCTTTACCCCCTGCCCCCTCCCCTCTAGTAACCACTAGTCTGTTCCTTTTAACTGTGGTTCGGCAGATATTAGCTGAATGCAAACCTGTGTGCAAGGCATTACACACTACAGGATATACAATGTAAAAAGCGTCTGTCTTCAAGGAGTTTATAGAGGGCGGAGATAAATTACGTAAATAATTACTAGAATCCATAGAATGTGCAAAGTGAGTAGTGCAAAAGTACTTACGGATTCAAGAAAGGCACTTTCCTTTGGGAAATGCTTCATAAATAAAGTGGCCTTTGGATGGCCTTTGAAGAAGCTATATGTAGGAAAGTAAGGAAACACAAGGCAAGTGGTGGAAAAAAGTGGGACTTTGTAGCAGTGGAGAATGAACTGTAGAGATAAGAGTAGGAAATTAGATTGGGGCTATATTGGCAGGGGCCTTGAATGCTAAACTAAGTTTGAATTTAATCCAGTAAGCAAAGAGCATAGGAGTGACGTGTTGAGAATGGTACTTTAGAAAAATTAATATAGTGTTGGTGCGAAGGATGGACTAGAAGTAAAGAGAATCTAGAGGAGGTGAAACCAGTTAGGAGGCTCTCGCAGAAGTCCTGGCAGCAGGTGATAAAAGGATAAATCAGTGTTGAGATAGAAAAGCAGGTATCGATTCATGAAACAGAGTCTGAGTAAAAACCACAGAACTTGGCAGCTGATTGGATATGGGAAGTTAAAAAAAAAAAGAGGTTTTAAGGATGACTCCTCAGTTGTAGGCCCAAGTGACTAGATGGCACTAGATGATGGTACCAACGGCAGGAAATGAGAAGGCTGGAGAAGAAACAAATTTGAGGGAAAGGCAGTGAATTCTTTTTTAAACTTTCTGAATTAGAACCGTCTGTGCAATATTTGATGGAGATGGGAACCTCTCAAAGTCAGAAGCCCCATTTATTCATCTTTTCCAGGTGCCTAGTAGATGTAATATAAACGCTGAATGAATGAATGAATGAATGAATGAATGAACAAATGAACAAATTAATGAACCAATGACCAGTAGTTATTTAGAATGTGGGTCTGAAGCTCTGTAGACAATGCAAGCACTAAAGATAGCAATGTGGCTGTTCTCTGCGGAGAAGTGACTGTTGAGGTCATAGAGAGTGGGTGTAGGCAAAGCCTGAGGAGAGAATCTTGAGGAATATCTACCTTTGAGGAAGAGGAGAGAGTAGACCAGTCAGTGAAGGAGGCAGAGGAGAGAAACCGAAAATAGGAGGAAAGTCAGGATAATGCAGCATCCTGATGAGAAGAGAGTTTCAGGAATCAAGTGGTCATTGGGGCCCAATATGGCCAAAGGGGCAAAATCTGGGAAAAGACCTCTGGGTGTGAGGCTCTGAGACAAATGGTAGTCAATTCTGTAGCCCCAAAAACTAATTATACCCATTAGAGGAACTGGGAGGCAGTGGGCACTTTGTAGTGAAGGGCGAGGAAAAGGCAAGCACTCAGAAATATGGCCAGGTCAGTGAGCGTTTTGAGAATAGGTAAGAACTGAGCACTCAAGAGGGAGAGACTGCAGTCGAACTGAGCACAATGGAAGAAGAGTCGGCTAGACAAGGCTAGACACCGCCACAGCACTCTCACCCTCTACCTTAGCTTCCACCTTAGAACCATAGAATCAGTTCCATGTGCAGTGACAGGGTGCTGTTGATGCTCTCAGACCATACAAGCGGTCAGGTGAAGACACTGAGTATGGAGCCTGGATGCTGTCCTCTCCATTCCCCGTCCCTGACTTGGCATTCTCTGGTGCAAAGGTGCAGGACCAGCCTCCCAACCAAGTCCAACTGTTCTGTTTCTATGAAAATGAACGATCGCTATCTCCTATTCATTTAACAGCCTGATTTTTGTGTGTTTGTTTGTTTCTCATCTAATCCAGATGCAGTCGCTCTCTGTTCCCTGCCCCAATGAACATCTGCACTAGGCCCAAGCCTTGGAGTGATTTACCTGAAGAGTGACACCGTTTATTTGGAAACTACTGTGAGTACATTATGCCTCCAATGAAAGGCCTCTTAGTTCACTTTGTCTAATTAAAACACACACACACACACACACACACACACACACAATTGTAAAAGCAGATGAAATTTTAGATGGCTTCATCTCTTGATGCGGCGAGGTAATCAGACTCAGTCCTGAGGTGCCCGCAGCATTCTCAGCTTCCAGCCTGCACTGCATGCCCTGTGCAACATTACGCCCTCCCTTCCAGGTGGCTTTGCTGAGCTGGATCTGAGCACACCTTGCATGCACTGGGGCTGTTCTGCCTGGCCATCTGCGCCTCTACCCGAAGCAGTGGCAGCTCCTGACCAACCTGTTTGCCTCTCATCACCCCACTGTGCCACTCTGTTGAATCTCACTGCGGCTTATCATTCCATGCCACCCGGGTCAAATCCAGGAGCCAGCTTTCCTTGCCCATGTCTGCCTTTTGTCTCAGCTGCATCTCGGTGCCCGGGCTATTGCTTCCTTGCTACTCTAGGGGGCCAAGGCTTGCCCCTTGAAGCTCGGGGCTCCTTCAGCCACATCTCTAAGCCACTGTATCCAGCTCAGCTTTGCCTTCTGGATGCATGGCTCTGTGTGCTGGGTTTAGTTCCTTTCATGACAGGCGTTTATGTACAAGTACAGCCCTTGCAAAGCAAGGTGCAGAAATGAGCTAGGGTAGGAGATAGGATGCCTATAGGAAGATACTAATGAAACATTGATATCTAGTATTCATTAATCATTGCTAAAATTAACAGATGAAAAATGATTTTTTTACCGGAAAACCAGAAATTTATTTAGAGGATATGCATGCAAAATAATTACACATTTTGAAACAAAAACTCATTCTGGTTGTATTTACAAGTTTTCCTATATGGTATGAGGCAGGTAGTAGGATAGTATTTTACAGACGTCTCTGTTACTGGAAAACACTAAACCTGGGAGGCTAACATCCTCTAGGCTCAGGTAGGATTTTCACATTTATATTTTCTACATCTTTAGCTATTCTGGCGAAAAGTAAGCCCAAAGAGATAAAGCCAGAGTTTTTGTTTTGTTTTGTGTTGCCTTTTACCTTTAATGCTTTAAGTCATCTGAATTGTAGTTAATGTGGTGGGCAGGCCCACCCAGCCACCTGGCCAGAATGGAGAGGGGGGCCATCAGAGTGCTCTGCAGTACCAATGGATTCAAGTGACTAGGGACTAAAGACATGACGTAAGATCAAACATTTCATTTCACACCCATGCAAGAACTTACTTGTATAAACACCTTCACTCATCCTTAAGTTCAAGTGCAAGATGTGCCTTAGAAAATTCTACATCTGAATAGTTTTCAGGGTTTTTCTTCATCACAGAGTAAATGTGCTGGTCCAAGTAGCACAGCTGTACTAGGATGCAGACAGGTTTCACAGTTTCCGTATCCTTTGGGAGAGAAAAGACTCTTTAGCATTCCTACCTTCCTGGGCTGCAGAGAACCCAGACCCAGAAATCAGGACCCACAGTTTCCTCAAGACCACAGGGCAGCCCACAAGTGAGTGTCTGTTTCTGCCATCGGAAGTATTTCACCTGCGCAGAATGCCATTGCCTGCTTTCCCATTTCCCAGGTCCTAGAGAATGGACGGATTGGCTCTAATCCTTGCAGTCTCTGCTTTTCAGAAACTCAGCTCCCTCATGCATAAAAGAGAAATCGTAATAAAACGTACAGAGATTGCTAGGTACAAAAGCAATAAAGTGAATAAAGTATAAAAAATGTGGGCTGATTACAAAAACATGTTCCCTCCCATGGATTGCTAATGCCCTGGGCCAGGACTCAAGGCTTAGGGGTGGCTACAAAAGGGGCGTTCGAGTTCAAAACTCACCCACTCCCACACAACCTGGACAACCATGCTCAGTGGCCCTGCCTATTACCTGGATTTTTGTGGAAATTACATGAGAGAATGTATATACGGTGTCTGGCACAGCAGAGGTGAGTGTGCTTACTCAGTCAACTAAAATTTACTGATGTTTACTGTGTGCCAGTCACGGTTCTAAGCATTTGAGTTATGGCAACAAGCAAACAAAAATACCTGCTCGCGTGGAGCTTACATTCAGTTATCTTCTCCCATAAATGGCAAATAGACAAAATAGGTACATGGACGGCAAAAGAGAACTGCTTTCATTTCATTTTGCTGTGTCTTTTCTTCTGGAAAGTAAAATTGAGAGGAAAAGTATGAAGGAATGGAGAAGGAAAGAGTAGATATTCCAGTTAGTCTCCTACCGCCTCCGACACACACACGCACGCACACCAGAACCATTCTCTGCCCTGAGTTGTGGCCCAGGAGCCCGACCTGTCTGGACGATATTACCCAGGCTGTCTTCGCCTCTGGCTTCCTTTGGCCTAAAGAAGACATCAGCGAGACAAGTGAGAGTGGGAGGAAAGTGAGGTCTGGCATTTATTAATCCAGGCCCCCTCCCCAACTCCAGATCTAACCGGACTTAGAGAACACCATGCCTTCCCTTGCTCCTTCAGTTTAACAGTTTAAAGCGGAGCTTTAACAGCTTCCCGCCACTGCTAGTCCCTGATGCCTCACCATCCCTTGAGGGTCCCTTAACCTCATCTGTACCTCCGTATACAGTCCTTTTATTAAACTCTCTTCAGTTAAAACCTTTGAGTGTGCCATCTGTTTCTTCCCAGGATCCTAACTGATACAGTGAGGGAGAAATACACTGAAAAAACAAAACAAAACAAACAAAAAAAAACATTATAAATCAGCCTTGCCAAGGAGGTTCAAAAAATTGAGAGAATAAAATGTTTTAATCATGAAAATATCTTAAATTGATCTGAGAACATTAGACCAGTAGTGAAAGACTGAATTATAAGAACACGTGATAAGAGAGAGTGCCAGAGGTTGGTTTTAATGAATAGACCATCATGCTCAGGTTTGACGGGCTTCTCTATAAGCCAAGGGTAGCTTGCTTGACCCTCAACGTCAAGAAGAGCTCTTGGTATAGCAGCAGCAATGACAAACACGTGAACAGAAAGGAGGTGTCAGAAGGGTAATACAGTAAGATCAAAGTGTTGAAGAACAGGTTGCTTATCCTGGCATTCTTTCCACCTTTGCTACAGTTGCAATCCATTTGCCCCTGCCCGAATCTTGATATTAAAAAAGATTACTAAGATGAAGGAAGTGCCCTGTTATAGCTTAAATGACGAAAACCACAGAACCGACACTCTCTGTGAAAAGAGCTGCCATCATTGTGCCAGCACAATGCCAGTTACTTGACATGAATTATCTTATTTAATTCTCACGTCAGCCCTAGAAGGTAGGTGTTATTACTTCTACTTTACAGATGAGGAAACTGAGGTGCAGAGAAGCAGACTAATCTGTCTAGAGCACACAGCTACTAGATGGTAAAACTCAGTTCTGCCAACCCCCACTGGGGTGGTTTGTCACCACCTGCCCTTTGCCCCCATCCCCAAACACTCTACTAAGCCTTTCCCAACAAACTATTGGGAAAGAGAGTTAAGGAAACGGTTACCTCTCCAAATAGTTGGGGGTGGGACATTATTGGTCTAAATTCCTATGATCCAATGACTAAGTAATTATTAATCAAAAGGAGGTTTTTACTCATTCTTTCCTATCGAACCCGGCTGGTAAATGCAAGGCATGTTAGTGTGCAGGAGAGGGCGGGAGCCCAGCGAGGAGAGAAAATTGGGAGAGGGAGATAGAAGAGAGCACTCTTCTTCTCAACAGACTCCGGAGACTGATAAGCGCTCACACAGATAAAATATTTATTTTCCATATGTTGCAGAAAGCATTGCCATCGCTGTATGTGTGCAATATGTGCAAAGAAGTGTGAAATATATACATCAAATGCCACCGATCTGGTTAATTTCCATGTATTTAACATGCTTGATACCTACCATCTCATCAATATGTTTTAATGCATATTTCTTTCCACATACAATATGGTCTAGTGAGGAAAGAGCCAACATCATCCACAGCCTTACTTACTGCTATGTTTCAGCCCAAAACTTGTTGCCAGGACCAGCACGATGAGAGTTAAAAACCAGAAGGCCCTGCTGGCTAACCCAGCCGCAAGTCACCTTAAAACGCCCTCCCAGTTCTTGAAGCAGCCTTTTTCTCATAGCAGAAGTGTTTGTAGTGGGGACATGGAAATGTTTTTGTACTCTTTGGGCAGTTGGGAGATATTCAGGCAGAATGTCGGAACTGACCGTTGAAAGGCGGGAGCTTGTGGCCACACTTTTTTTTTTCTTTTTCCTTTCTTTCTTCCTTCCTTTCTTTTTTTTTGAATGCAGAGCTCCACCAGTGTGGCGGGAGGAAGTGCACAATGATTGGTCTGTTTTTCTGTGGAAGTGTTCAGGGTACACCCAGTTTTGCTTTGCATATATTTACGAAACATCTGCCCTTTTCTTGTTCTTAAATCCTTCCCCCGCACCAGCCCCCTTTCCCCTTTCTCCCAGTTTCTTTCTTTGTTGTTGTTGGCTTGTCTAACTTTTCATTGGAGCTTTCATTTTCCGGTTGAGGGGCGACTTCATCAGAGTGTATAATTTTAACATTGAGGGAGGGAGGGAGAGAGGAAGGGAAAGGAGGAGAGAGAGAGAAAAAGAGAGAGAGAAAGAGAAAGAGAGAGAGCTGAAAAGAATGAAAGAGGCTGAACTGAACGGCCAGAGCTTGGCAAACCAACCTCTGGCATGGTGACCAGGAGGAAGGTTCTGGTCTGGTCAGGAGTTTGCGTCTCTGAAATGCTGCCTGGAGTCAACCAGTCTGCTGCTGCCCTCTACAGGCTCCAGGGGGAAATGCACAGCCCCACAGGCTTGGAGAGGCTTGTCCTCAGATGTTTATAAAATTGTTTATAAAATTCTCTTTACCCAACCGAAGAAGGTATTTTCAATTAATTACTACAGGACTTGCTCTTTCCTCAAAAAACTATGAACTACAAAAATGGGATCAAAATAACAGCACCTGTGCATTTCTAGAGACTGCTGTTATGTGACAGTATTTCTCAACTCTGGAAAACGGAGTCCAAAAGGGCTATTAGAGAGACTGAAATGGAGAATGAATTGCTTCTACGAGCAGCGAGTGGTTCTCTGTTATCTGCGCAGTTGGGAAACAGCCCAGCGGTATAAAGACAGGTGAAGTGATATTAAGCAAATGAAGGTATGAGTCAATTAAGGTTGAGTTTTCAATATTTTCTGTTCATAGAGGTGACTGCAATGCCTCCGTGCTATGAATGTTCCCCAAAGGTGATCTTTGAGACAACAAATAGGAGGGTGTATTACAAGATGTCAGGTAGGAAGCAGGATCAAATCCAGGGAAGGAAGCCAGGGCATTTATATAAAGAACAATACAATTTGTGCAATCTTAAAAATAAAACAGTAATGTTGGCCATGTACTCATGTTTGAAAGAAGGCTTCCTTAATTTCCTCAAACACACATCTGAAACTAGACTAGGCCAGGTCTGAGAGCAGCAGATTTTTTTTTTTTCTTTTAAATGACATCTGTCATTAGTGTTTCATTCCTATACTTAAATGAATCATGAGGACCAGCCCAGCTTTAGTGAGCAAAATAGCCCTACTCTTACCAAATGCCTTGCATGGATTTAAACGAAAAGCAGCCACTCAAGGTAGATTTTACTACTGCATAAAGAGTAGCAAACACAACTGAGATTCAGACTATGACTATTTTATTCTATCAACAAACATATATTGAATGACAAGCTTTGTCTAAGCTACTTGGCTCAACAGTATACACTAGACAGCAAACTCTGGGAGAGCAGAAACCAGGCTTGTTTTATTCCTTAACCCATGCTGGCACATCATAGACACATAATAAATATTTGTAAGATGAATACATGAATAAATGAATGGTGGGAGGGAAGGAAGAAGGGAAGTCTGGATGAACACAGGGATGAAAAAATAACTAGGACATTTCCTTACCCTCAGAGAGTTTGTCATAGGAGAGGGATAAGCACATAAATAACCATTGTTGAAAGAAAATTTAGTGCGTAAAATTTTTAAAAGTAAAAAGTGAGGATCTCAGAGAAAGATGGAAGGGAGGAGAACTTCAGAGAGAGAAGTCCTATCCCGTAGAAGGGAATCAAGACAATTACAAGATGGAGACGACATCTAAAAAGGATAAGTATGATTTCAGTAGTTAGAGTTGAAAAAATGCCGTTCAAAGCAAGAGAAAGAACTTGAGCAAAGATGTAGTGCCAAGGATGTGGATCCCCCAGGATGTGCCAGGATTATTCAGGAAATTCGAGAGTCTAGTATGCCCGATATGTATAGCATGTGAGCTAAGCTAGAGCAGATATGGAACTCAGCATGAGTGGCAGGCTAACGGGGCCACCTCAAGTTTAGTGAATGCAGAGAAGTGGAACTAGAGGGAGTCAAGGAGGATGGAGAGCTAGAAAGTAAGCAACGGTCTAAATAAAAAGTGTTTGGGTGATTGCAATAGAAATGGAAAGGAAACACAGAGGTGAAAACTATAAAAGAAGCGGAACTGTCAGGACTCGATAAACGGATTTTAAAGAAGAGGGAGGTATACGACACTGAGGTTTCCAACCTGGTGACAGACAACAGTGATAGAAATAGGGAGGCATTGGTTTTCATAGAAAAAAAAGGAGTTGGGCTTTGGAGACTTTCGTCTTGGATACCTCCTTAAACTGAAAACCAGACGCCAGCTCCTTGGACGTCCACGTAGATGCTCAGAATTTGGAGGTTAGTTCCACAGTCACTCATCCATTCGACAAACAGTTGGTAAAGCATTGCAGTTTGTTTATTCTCCTACGTTGGCCCTCTCCCTACCGAAAAATGTCTGAAAGCTTCCTCTTTATTTTCATCTTTACCACGCCATCTCTGCCTCCTGCCCTCTGAAAAAGCAGATTTTATTTCACAACCTATTGGACCAGAAACACAGCATGCTAATCATAACACCATATTCTGCGAGGGCAGATTTAACTACCCAGTATAACAAATTTCAATGCAAAATATTCTGTATAACAGGTCTATTGCCATGCTTATTGCAACAAGAAAAACATGGAAACAAATCTACTTACAGCAAATTCGGTACCGCACATACTCTTCTACCAAAAAATAACATACTTTCTCTGGTACCATGTACATAATTATAAAGGCGGAGAGCCAAGGAAATTGAGGAAAATTTTCAGGGTGTGATTAATAATTCAGTTTGTCTGAGGCCTACGGTACATGCAATCTAAGCCGAATATTTATTCATTGACATCAGATTTATATCAGTTGTATTCTCCTGGGGAAAGAAGACCAGAGCTGACCAGTGGCTGAGATCTTTTACTTCCTATTCCTGACCCCAAATAACAATTAGTAACAATTACTTTTTATTTTCCTTTACCC